AACCATAATTAGGGGGTGGGGTTATATAATCTCCATGGAAATGAAACTTGCAAATGCATTGACCGAATATCATTGACTAAACATTAGTGGTTCATCTTAAAACTGACCTAATCACAAACTAATACATGTAAACTAAGCAAAAGTTTCAAAGTCAATAGACCATGACTGAGGGGTAAGGACCAAATATTCTCCATTGAAATGAGATGTGCTAATGCTTATACAACTGCATATCAATTATCATTGACCTACCACTATTGGGCACTAACAGTTTCCCTTAAACTGACCTAATCACAAACTAATACATGAAATCTAAGCAAAAGTTTCAAAGTCAATAGACCATGAATGAGGGGGCGGGCCAAATAATCTCCATGGAAATGAGATATGCCAATGCTTATACAACTGCATACCAAATATCATTGACCTACCATAAGTGGTTCCCCATAAACTGACCTAATCACAAACTAATACATGTAAACTAAGCAAAGTTTCAAAGTCAATAGACCTTGAGTTGGCTGAGGGGGCGGGGCCAAATAATCTCCATGGTAATGAAATGTGCCAATGCCAAAACAACTGCATGCCAAATATCATTGACCTACCACTAGTGGTTCACCATGAACTAGACCTAATCACAAACTAATACATTGTTGACGACGCAGAGGACGATGCCGCCGCTGCCGCCGGAAATAGCATACCTATGTCTCGCTTTTTGACTCTGTCAAGGGCGAGACAAAAAGTGCAATACTACAATAGTTTTTTGAAGATTTAAGTTAAATGCAACATTGACATTCAAATAAAACTAAAATAATGCATTGCCCATTGAACCATGTGAAATCAAATCTACATGAGGCATTTAAAAATAAAAGAAACCAGCATGACTTTAAACTTGTTTAAACCTTTCAAATAGATGAGTGCAGCTAAAAGTGGATTTTATTCACCTTGTTAATACAATTTTAGAATCCTATCCACCAAACTTAAGTAACTTTAATTCCATTTAACAGAAGTATGAAACCTTTGGTTAACTATCTTATTTACAATCAATACGGGAATACCCTAATTAACATAAGTTATCAATCTAAAATTTGATTGGTAAATGGCTGCTTAAAAATGGTCTTGTTTTTCCAAATTGTAATCATGTTAGAAATACATTATACTTATAATCTTACAAAAGCTTTATGTTGATCTTAAGCAGATCTAAAATAAGTCATCTTTTTTAATTGTATAGTTTTAATTATTGCGTCATATTTTAGAAGCCAGAAAGTGGACAAGGTCTATCTTTTGAAGCAGCTACAATAATAGTCTGTCCATAAAAATAAGGTCAAGGTCAGATAAACCCTGTCAGATGGACATGTAATCCTTAAAATCATTCTACATATCAAATATAGTAGTAAGTTGACCTATTACTAATAGTATCCTAGAAACAGATTTATTACGAAAATTAAAGTGAGTAATGATCCAGGAAAATGAGTTTAAGGTTAGATGAAAGCAGTCAGGCTAACATGAAACATGTGCACCTTGCAATCATTCTATACACCCAATATAGTTGACATATCAATTATAGTATCTGAGAAACAGATCTAATCATTAAAACTTATTGTTGACCAATCAACCATGAAAGAGAAAGGTGATTATTTAAGAAAGACAACTCTTACTTCCAACCTTTGTGGACATAATGTTACTTGAATCAGTGATTTAGAAAATCACTCATTTAAGTAAGTCCCCTGACTAATCAAATACAGTTACTCATAATATCGGAACAGAATAATGTCATAAAATAAACCAACACTGAGATATGTCTGTCTGTGTGTAATTTACATAGAAAATAGATCAAGAAATGTTGAAATTTAAAAAGCAACGCTTACCATGTTAACTATGCAAATCATCTTCAAATTCATGAAAATAAGAGGTGTCGATGCTGATACGAATGCAAATCAAATATGATGAATATTATTGACGTACCATCAGTGGTTCCCATTAAACTGACCTAATTGTAAAACTTCAATAAATGTTATGCTGCTTAGCAAGAATCATGCCTCCACAACTTTGTTGAGGCAATACAAAAACTATGCACTTTTTTAAAGGGGTCATTAAACCGTATAAATCAGGTAAAGCATAACAGACATATTATCCAGACCGAACCATCAGATTGTAAGGCTTCTGTATACAAAATATGGATTATCCAACTCTTTTCCGCCTGAACATGACCCTAAATTCAAAGAGCAAACACAGCTGTTGCCACCATTGCTGACCAATGAATCATGATAATAAGGTCAAGGTCAGATCAACCCTGTCAAATTTGATCTATTGCTTATACTATCTAAGAAAGGAACATACTCATGAAAACTTTAAGATGCCCAATGACCCATGAAAATGAGGTCAATGCCAGAAGAACCCTGTCATCTGAACACATACTATAAATTCAGAAATTATTGTCTGCACTTGTTATTGCAATTGAAGGACCCAGCAATAAAGTGAGGTTTTATTTTGTGATCCGTATAATTATTTATAGTTGTAGGCCAAAGTTGTCCAACTTTTCTTTTTTTGCAATCATATTGTTTAAATTCATTGATCAAATGAGGGTTTTTTTTATGACACTGAATTCAATTTCTGTAATAAAATGGAAATATAGAATAACCATACATTGTCTCGAAATATAAATTTTATTTGTACAAGGCTTAGAAACAGATAGAAAGCGAGGCTTTGCAGAGCATTTCTACCTGTTTTGAGCTGAGTACATATACAATTTATATTTCGAGACAATTTATATACTACAACTCCTTTAACTGTTCCAAATGAGATATTTAGGGTAAAAACCATCATTTCTTTAATTTGGAGCAGACGATGTAAAATTTCCGTGAACCTGTATTGTTTATTGACGTCATAAATAAAACTCTACGGAAACGCATTGTCAACATCATAAACAAGTCGATATACGGTCAGTGACTGTATATGACAAATGAATATACAGTCAATGCAATTTGACTGCTCAAATAGTACAGCTGCAGTATATTAATATATAAATAGCCCACAGCTGAGAGGTTGATAGATCAGATTGTTACCCTGAGAAAACATTGTCAACTGAGGCAAAGCCAAGGTTTATAAATTTTTTTTGAGGGGTAACAATCTGCTCTTTTACCCTCTCAGCTATGTGTTGTTTAATTTATTATACTGAATGTTTTGTTATTACTGTGTTTTAAATTTTTAATTGAAAGTAATAAACTATGGCGTCTTATACATAACAACAATCCGTATCTAATAAAGTGCACAATTGATCAACCTTCTCCATCAGGGGTTATAGAGTATAAGCTATGGGATAAAGTAAATTTATCTCTCTCTTATTAACAAATCAAAATCTGACATTTTAACATGAAGTATAATAATACTGATTACTCAATCTGTGTCACGTCATTGGGATCTAGATACGACAAAAATAATTTCAATGATTTATATTTCATTCTGATATTGGAGATCTAAAAATTATTTGAACAGTTGTCACGTTTTTGGCAGTTTCTTTGCATTTCCATCAAAATTATTTACGTAAAAATAAATTATTCAGTGCTTAAAAGAACCTCTTTTGATTAAGTTCTACAATGATGAGAAATTGAAATACTTGTGTTTGCAAAAGAAGCTTTTATAAACCCAATATAATGCCCCCTCTTGCATACAACATTATAAAGGGACATAACTCAAGAACAATAAAAGTGATGCTACCCAAATTTGTACTTGATCTGAGTTTTGTGGTAATAAGTATTGTGTAAAGGTTTCATAATGTTTGGTTGGGGCAAACTTAACACCAAATTTTGCAATTTTTCGATTTATAAAGGGGCATAACTCGATAATGATTAAAGTGGCGCAACCAAAATTCAACTTGATCTGTTTTTTGTGGTAAAAAGCATTGTGTATAAGTTTCATAACATTTGGTTGAGGCAACTTTAATTGAAGAACGGAAACTAAAATTTTGCATTTTTTTCCATTTATAAAGGGGCATAACTCGAGAATGGTTAAATTGACCCCACCAAAATTCAAACTTGATCTTTATTTTGTGGTAATAAGCATTGTGTATAAGTTTCATAACATTTGGTTGAGGCAAACTTAAGTTAGAGAACGGAAACTAAAAATTTTGCAATTTTTCCATTTATAAAGGGGCATAACTCAAGAACGATTTAAGTGACGCCACCAAAATTCAAATTGGATCTGTGTTTTGTGGTAATAAGCATTGTGTATAAGTTTCATAACATTTGGTTGAGGCAAACTTAAGTAAGAGAACAGAAACTAAAAAATTGGTAATTTTTCCATTGATAAAGGGGCATAACTCTAGAACAGTTAAAGTAACGTCACTAAAATTCAAACTTGATCTGTGTTTTGTGGTAATAAGCATTGTGTATAAGTTTCATAACATTTGGTTGAGGCAAACTTAAGTTAGAGAAAGGAAACTAAAAATTTGGTAATTTTTCCATTTATAAAGGGGCATAACTCTAGAACAGTTAGAGTAAAGCTATCAAAATTCACACTTGATCTGTATTTTGTGGTAATAAGCATTGTGTATAAGTTTCATAACATTTGGTTGAGGCAAACTCAAGTTAGAGAACGGAAACCAATTTTGGGACGTACGGACAAGGGTAAAACTTAATGCACCCTCCGCTACGGCGGGGGCATAAAAATAGGGCAAGGTCAAATGAACCCTGTCAGACAGACATGTAAAGCTTACAGCCATTCTATACACAGAATATAATTAACCATTCCAAGAACTCTTCAAGATTAACTTTCAAATAAGATCTTTTGGTTTGAACTTTTATTAAATAAAAAATACATGTAGGTGTTGCAAAAACTATTGACACTTTTTTATAACACCAAGAATGAATGAAACATCACAACACAGAAGATATTACTTTTCACATAATAAATTGAGTCAAAAATGAATTCACATGAATAAAAGGCATTCAAAACTCACTGCAAATCAAAGGATTACAAAAAGCATGCAGTTTGACCATAAATTGACTTACTTTGCTCTTTCCTAACTTCATATCTTGATATTCCTTCTGTAATGCTCTCAGTTCTCCCTCTTTGTCCTCTAGCTTCTTTGTAAAGTCTTCTGCCTGTAAATATTATTCATAACAGTCTGTATTAGTCTTTTCAAATTTGTTCAATTAAATGGGATAGTGAAAAACTAGAACTAATATTGAGTCTACTGACACCATTCTTTCTGTAGGTCAGACTAAAATGAGGACTGACCATTCACAGGAAGTACTGGCTAAGCCTTACATTAGTAGTTTATTGAAACTAGAGGCTCTCAAGAGCCTGTGTCGCTCACCTGATTCTACTTTGGTTTTGGAAATCATGTTAAAATAGATTAAAATCATAACAGATACCCTAATAATGAGTGAGGCCAAATGAGCAACACTTCATCAGCACCTCATAAGAAACATTTATGCCATGTTTGGTTTCATTCCATTCAGTGCACCTCTAGAAGAACAATTTGTATGTATTTCCAATAGGGTCTTATGTTAAAGAAAGTCCCCCTGCTGGCAGCCATCGTGGATGAAGGATCAGCTTCAAAGTAACAACACTTGGTCAGCACCTCAAAAGGAACATTCATGCCATGTTTGGTTTCATTCCATTAATAGTTACTTATATGTTATATAAATTATGTTTATACATAGTTTGATTTCCATTACACTCAGTAGTCATTATTTTATGATTTTCCCAGGATTTTTTGTTTTCTTTACTATTGAGAAGAAACAGATTTATTATCATATCTTAATCAGCTACATGTGAGTTTATCAGGTGTTCTTAGCAGGGGGTTTAATTACATCAGTTCCATTACAAATGTACATGTTTTGTTAATTAGTGACCACTTGTGGCATCTGGCTTTCCTTTATCCTTTGTTTGTTTGCACATAAACTTGGGTGTAGTTTAGCTCCTCCCATTTAGGAATATCCCATTAAGTAGTTGTATATTGAAAACCAGTACATGCTGCCTTTAGTGTCCAGTTTTTTCAATGCAGATTAAGCAGTTAAAAGAATAATTTTTGCTCAAAAAGTAGCTTAGCTAAAAACTTCTTAATGTTTCAGTGATTTGGATTAATACTTTACCAAAGCAGGTTATACAGATTTTGAACTATTTAAATTTTGATTCAGACTAAATACACATTTATTTTGGAATAACTAGTATGAAAATGTCTGGCAAATGGAAAGGTGTGTGTAGGAGGAGTATTAAATATTTCTCCTTATGAGAACCATTGGACTATAATAATCCATTTAACTGGAATATTACAAGCTGAAAGACAAAAAAGGAATTAGGACATCTTATCAAATGTCAAAACTAGTGTTAAAGCAATTTTATATAGGATAGTAATGAAGCAGTAACATATTTTGTATATATTACTTCTAAACTTTTTCATTTTTGGATTATGAATTATCCCTACAAAGCTGAGTATTTATGCTGGCAATATTTGTGTTGTGCATAATTTTACATTTTTGATGTTATCTGAATTTTGGACGACCAATATAAACTGCGCCTTTATTAGAGAGTGAATTATATTTGATATAGCCGATTTTAACAGCATCAGATCCATATGTTTGTTGTGACCATGCAGAGATATTTCCATCCATGTTTATGAACTGGATTTACCTACAAATGTTCTAGGCAAGTATCTTTTTACTACATGTACAATTGGGTGAGCAACCCAAACAGAGATATAATAGGTTAATGTGACAATAATTAGGATCCAGCAGCAAAACTGTGTAAACATCACCAACATACAAATCTGACTAAAAACTCAAACATTTACATACAAATAAATCTACATAGTTGCCAACTTTTTTTTTTGTAGTTGATAGTAAATTTTCAAAGACAGCAACAAAAAGTTTTTGTAGTTGATAGTACATACAGCATATAGTTTACACTTTCTCAATAAAGTACAAATCAAGTAAAATATAAAGACAACAGTATCAAGTGAAAACAACACTTTAAAAACCTCTTGCATCATAATTGCACCTCTTGACCCACCTGCAACAGGAACCGCTAAAAACCTGGATAGCTGATGAACAAATACCAAGTCACGTCATGAGTCATACAACCAAAGGAACATAATTATAAGCACAAAGACTAATAAAGGAATAAAATTCGTAAGGGTTCCGCGGAACCCAGTGTCTCGCCTACTTTTACTGTTAATCGCAGGCTCAACAAAAATGTGGAAAAAAATAAATAAGAATATTCCTCTCTATACTATCTTTTGATTGTAAGTAGCTTCTGTCCAAGTTTGGTAAAAATCCAGGATAATTTATGAATCTAATAAATGTTTTAAATACTTAAACTGCAGACTGTATGTAATGTTGACTGGAAGAAAAACTAAGTCCATTTATAAGTAAAATACGGAAAAAATGGAACAAAATTTTATCAAAATTTCCTTCTAGATACTAGCTTTTGATCATAAACAAGCTTCTGTCCAAGTGTGGTACAAATCCAGGATAGTTTAAGAAAGTTGTTAAAATTTTAAAAACTTTAACCACAGAGTGAATGTAATGTTAACTGGCAGAAAAACTAAGTCCATTTATAAGTAAAATACGGAAAAAATGGAATTTTTTTTTTTACAAAATTTACTTCTGGATACTATCTTATGATCATAAACAAGCTTCTTTCGAAGTTTGGTAGAAATCCAGGATAGTTTAAGAAAGTTATTAAAATTTTAAAAACTTTAACCACAGAGTGAATGTAATGTTTCCTGGCAGAAAAACTAAGTCCATTTATAAGTAAAATACGGAAAAAATGGATTTTTTTTTTTACAAAATTTACTTCGGATACTATCTTATGATCATAAACAAGCTTCTTTCCAAGTTTGGTAGAAATCCAGGATAGTTTACGAAAGTTATTAAAATTTCAAAAACTTTAACCACAGAGTGAATATTTGTGGACGCCGCCACCGACGACGACGACGCCGACGGAATGTAGGATCGCTATGTCTCGCTTTTTCGACAAAAGTCGAAGGCTCGACAAAAACTGTAAAGTAATTAAAAGATACACAACTTCAGTACCTACAGAAGCTATAACTCAAGACCATCTGTATTATTTGTGAATTAGACACTGAATATTTATGCACTGGTATTCACATAAGCTAACTTGGTTATTGACAATAGCATATATATGTCAGATATAATAATTTGTTTTCATTTCTTCATCTTCATGGGATAATTTTGATTTATTTCTTTAGTATAATATCTATTTTTATAACATATACTCCACTTACTGCCAAATTAATTTCATGATCTATTTACCATATATTTCCTTGCATTATGTACAAAGAGAAACAATTATGTTGTTACAGTTATATGGCATCTCCATAATTAAAGTCAATCAAAATTGGTTTTTTTGGTAAACACAATTGGTAAATGGAGTATTTAGATTGATTGATTTGATTTGTGGTTGATTTACGCCGCCTCAGCACATAAAGGCGATATCATGGCGAAAAAATGAATTAAGAACAAATAACTTGTGAACATATAAGTATAAACATTTTATCTAAATGTTAATAGTTCTAGAATACCGTGATATGGGTTAAATCGTTACTATGCTAGCTTTACAGATAGATACTTACATAACAAACAATTTTATATTTTATAACAGCATTTGATATATTGTGAAAACTGACACCTTTCTTCATTTCTTTTATTTGCATATTTATACACTGAGGGAAACAAGACATTGCACCTCCTGTATGCACATTGGGAACATCAGATGGACAATCACAAGCTTTGAACTCTACCAGTTTGTCATGCTTCTTTTTCTGCATAGCTGTGGCAACAGCTTGACTATATTATTTAATGCTAGTTGGATCAACAACTTCACAGATTTAATTGTTAAGCTTTATATTTATCATTGCTGCTCAGTCATATATACATTATACACTTGAACATTGATGGTATTCATATCATGTTATAAACTGTTCAATACTCTTGGATAATGACAGAGAATTCAGTACCAAGCAGTTCAGATCTCCAGGGTACATACCCAAGAGACTTTAATGTTAAATCTCAGTGCTCTAGATGTTTTACTGTTATGTAATGGGATGTTTTAAACCTGGATTAAGTAAACTAGATTAAAGGGACTAATACTTTTAGTTGTGGATTCAACTTCATCTGTAGTAAATGCATAATGTTCAGCAACTGGTCATATTAATCAGAGTTCATGTTCCCATGTTTTAAACAGGATACATTATCCATATTCAACCATACAAACATTAGATACTAGAGCATCCTCATTTCAACATGCACCTAGATAGACAGATTTCACAAACCAGACCCAGTGCAGCACAACTTTCAATGAAGTGCCCATGCAGCTCAGATGTATGTGGTCCTAAATCAGCAGTTGATGATCTTTGGAATAGTAACATGCTTATAAATACTGCAGGAACTGTTTATGAGACTGGGTTCAGAAGTTTGAGACCTTTATGTTATTGAATGGATTATAATTACTAGTTTACCTGCTGTTTCTGAGGATTTTATAATATTGCTTTAAATTCTGAGTTTACTATACTCTACCTTTAATTTGTATTTATGTAGAATAAGGTAAAGGTATCTGCAAGGTAATAAAAATTATCCTTTGCTGTCAGAAAGTAATACACCGTAACTAGGCTTGAACATGTCTTAAATTCTGTAAATATACTGCAAAAACCAAGATATATCAGATTACCATAATTTTGATTTTAGAGAAAATGGTAATTGTCTGCAAAAAGGTTTTTTTTTCAAGTTTACTGATTTGATGTTAAGAACTGCATGCTTTGTAGCTTTTATGGATTTTTTTTTTAAAGAGTGGCAAGTTTACATTTTCAAGGCCTCATGTACATTTGATCCAGCTGTAAATCTATGCATTATATATGCTGCATTTTACTCCACTTAGTAGTTTTTAAATTAAAAAAATATCAAAAACTGTTCTGTTTAGAAAGGGCATAAGCATTCAGCTACATAAATTATGGCTTAATTTAATTAATACTTATCTGCCCATACAAGATTTTATTAGAATTTATACAGTTGTAGGAATTAACTCCTATCCATCCAACTGACCCACTTTTCTTAACCATTGATAAGAAATTTTAGAAAGACAATATTTACTTATATGTTACTCAGATCATTAAGCTTTAGAATAGGGACAGCTTCTAGAGCTGGAAAGACAAATAGAAGATCAAGCTGGTCTTCAGATATATACAGTACATGTAGATGTATTTAGTAACAACAGTATCTATAAAAAATTTTCAAAGTAGGTTAGGTAGCTTTAAGAAAATGTTATTTCTCAAGTTCTTCATAAATTATATAAAAATAAGAAGAAATATGCATGAATGTTTTCAAAGTAGTTTCAGTATTGTTCTGTGACTAAAGTTTGTTTTTTATGTTTATCATTATGTGATTATTCTTATCTTTTCTTTAATGTTTTGTGTGTATTCTCATGGCTTTATTGAAGGTATCCCCTCTCTCACATCACAAATCCTTGGGGACACTCAGCTGTAACCATCTGTGTTATGGACATTTATGAAATTTTATCACTGGTTGTTTCAAAAATTTCACTCATCCCCCAAGAATTTCTGGGGATAAACTGTCAAATTTCATACGATTTCATTCCAACACCAATTCAACATCAACACTACTTGGCTTCCTCATAGCCACATACTAGGCTTCCTCATAGCCTCATAGGCTTCCTCAGACATAGCCTCATAGGCTTCCTGATAGCCTCATATGCTTCCTGATAGCCTCACGCATTTATTTGGAACCATAGTTCCATTGGATTGGTGTGATGTCAAGCCAGGGGTCTTTACTTTGCTACTTTTCAGTACGCACATAGGCTCTTGGCTTAGGCATGGAACAAAAAATTTAATTTTAGCTGAGTAGATTCCCCAAGGGCCAAAATTAAGTGATGAATATAAAATAATAAAAGTTATAGTTCATTTATGTTTTATGTTTCATTCAAACCTGGATACAACTGGCACTGCTACACAATACATGTATTTACACAGAAGTTTATTTATAATGGGATAGAGCAGGATTTTGAATTAGGTTGATTATATTGTTGATATGAGTATTAAATGCTTAATTTTACATATCATGAGTTCAAATGGAGAGTTCTGAAGCAAATCAGGATAATTAAAATGTTGCTTAAATTAATTGTCTTAAGAACTCATTATGTGTGACTTTGAGGATTTTGTTCATTGGGCATACATTTCGGCAAGTTAGACTTATACTCAGACAGGTTTTTAATGTCAGGTCAAAAGATTTTTGCAAGGAGGTAACTGTTTTTCTGGATGTTTACTCAGGCGTTATATACTGTTCATTATTACAAAACGCACATCCACTGACCAAAGGAGAAATATGTACAGTATAAACAACAGACACTTAAATATTAAGTACAACATTACAACTAATTATGAATGGACCTTTAGTATATCTACAATCCAGAATCTGTACTCGTAGTCAAACATGGAACAAATTACAGTTAAAAATAATCAGGACCATTTCTGAGGACTTTGTATAAAGTGGTTCTTTAAAAGAATACATTTGTATGTATTTCCCGTAGGGTCCTATGTTAAACTAAGCCCCCGCTGGCGGCCATCTTGGATGATGGATCGGCTTCAAAGTAAAAACACTTGGTCAGCACCTCATAAGGAACATTCATGCCATGTTTGGTTTCATTCCATTTAGTGGTTCTCTAAAAGAAGACATTTGTAAATATGTCTCATAGGGTCCTATGTTAAACTAAGTCAACCGCAGGCGGCCATCTTGGATGATGGATTGGCTTCAAAGTAACAACACTTGGTCAGCACCTCATAAGGAACATTCATGCCATGTTTGGTTTCATTCCATTCAGTGGTTCTCTAAAAGAAGACATTTGTAAATATGTCTCATAGGGTCCTATGTTAAACTAAGTCAACCGCAGGCGGCCATCTTGGATGATGGATCGGCTTCAAAGTAACAACACTTGGTCAGCACCTCATAAGGAACATTCATGCCATGTTTGGTTTCATTCCATTCAGTGGTTCTCTAAAAGAAGACATTTGTATGTATTTCCCATAGGGTCCTATGTTAAACTAAGTCAACCGCTGGCGGCCATCTTGGATGATGGATTGGCTTCAAAGTAACAACACTTGGTCAGCACCTCCTAAGGAACATTCATGCCATGTTTGGTTTCATTCCATTCAGTGGTTCTCTAAAAGAAGACATTTGTATGTATTTCCCATAGGGTCCTATGTTAAACTAAGTCCCCCGCTGGCGGCCATCTTTGATGATGGATCAGCTTCAAAGTAACAACACTTGGTCAGCACCTCACAAGGAACATTCATGCCATGTTTGGTTTAATTCCATTCAGTAGTTCTCTAGAAGAAGTTCAAAATGTAAAAAGTTAACGACGACGGACGCCAAGTGATGAGAAAAGCTCACTTGGCCCTTCAGGCCAGGTGAGCTAAAAAAGATAGCAAATTCAGCAACACAATTACTGTATACATGAAAATTTCCGTCCAGGGATTATTTTTGTTTATTTGGCTATCAATTTTTATGTAAGTTGATATCCACGTTATAGTTTGTATTGCCTAAACAATATCTGTTTGAATATCAAATCCGAAACATCTAAGTAGCTGGTTTCACTGATTAAGTGATGTCTTACAACTTTTATGAAACTGAGGTGCATTGATGCTATAGCAATTAACCAATTCAGAAACTATTTTTTCCTAATGATCACATTGCGCAGTGTCAGTTTCCACAAAAAAGAGATTTGAAAATGCAAACAGTGATGTCCCATAATACAACACTATATCTGAATTGGTCCATTCAATAAAAGAATCAACAGGATGACATGATAAGGTCAAATAATTTCTTCTAAATACTGAAGGTCATCAAGCATGAAATTGGTAGCTAATTTGAATCAAATATAAAGGTGAATTACAAAATCCAACTCAACAGAACTATACTTAACTATTGGTTAATAATTACCTCCTTGGTCTTCTCCACAATAAGAGTTCTCATTCCCATTACAGCTTTATCTCTTTTCTGGATGCTTTTCTGCTTTTCATCCAGGACAGACTCCAGTTCTTTCACTTTGTTTTCTAAGTCCTAATGATACCAACATATAAAACATAAAGTCCAATCGAGGATTTAACAGTCACATGGCAAGACAGGTTAGGGAAGACTAACAGAAGTTATTACTTTAAATGTTTGCAATTATCAATAATGAAAGATTTCCAATTCAAATTTTAATCTTATTCATCATTTTTGGGGTGAAACATTTTATACATATTCATCATTTCTTAGTTGAAACATTTTATATGTATTTATCCTTTCTAAGTTAAAACATTTTTATCTAAGTTCATCATTTCTTGTGTGAAACATTTAATATAAATTGCTTGTATAATTTCAAATGTGGTTTGCCCTACTTGCATATAAAAATAGACAACGGTAACATTCTTACAGAACAGAAATTTCTCAAGGTAAGCTTTGTAGAAGTATTCTTGCATAGAAAGCACATGATTTTACATATATGAAAATCCGTCAACACAGCGACATTCCTGGCCTGTTAGCAGCAATGTACATCGTCCGTTTAAAAGTAATAAAATGCTCCGCAGGGCGCAGCTTGATACGACCGCAGAGGTCGAACCCTGAACAGTTGGGGCAAGTATGGACACAACATTCAAGCTTGATACAGCTCTGAATTTGGATTGTGATTAAATATTTGACACAGCATAGGTTTCTGACACAGAATGAATGTGGTCTAAGAACTTAAAAATTTTAAATTGGACATTCACCTATTATGGTCCAATATCCAAAATCTAAATACATGGTTAGATTCAGCATATCAAAGAACCCCAAGAATTCAATTTTTGATGAAATCAAACAAAGTTTAATTTTGGACCCTTTTGATCTCAATGTGGACAAAAATGATAACAGGGCCCAAAAATCAAAAATCTAAATACATGGTTAGATTCAGCATATCAAAGAACCCCATATATTCAATTTTTGTTGAAATCAAACAAAGTTTAATTTTGGACCCCGATTTGGACCAACTTGAAAACTGGGCCCATAATCAAAAATCTAAATACATGTTTAGATTCAGCATATCACAGAACCCTAAAAATTCAATTTTTGTTAAAATCAAACTAAGTTTAATTTTGGACCCTTTGGACCTTTATGTAGACCAATTTGAAAACGGAACCAAAAATTAAGAATCTAAATACACGGTTAGATTCAGCATATCAAAGAACCCCAATAATTCAATTTTTGATGAAATCAAACAAAGTTAAATTTTGGACCCTTTGGACTTCAATGTGGACCAATTTAAAAACGGGGCCCAAAATCCAAAAACTTAATACACGGTTAGATTCAGCATATTACAGAACCCCATATATTCAATTTTTGTTGAAATCAAACAAAGTTTAATTTTGGACCCCGATTTGGACCAACTTGAAAACTGGGCCCATAATCAAAAATCTAAATACATGGTTAGATTCAGCATATCAAAGAACCCCATATATTCAATTTTTGTTGAAATCAAACAAAGTTTAATTTTGGACCCCGATTTGGACCAACTTGAAAACTGGGCCCATAATCAAAAATCTAAATACATGGTTAGAATCAGCATATCAAAGAACCCCATATATTCAATTTTTGATGAAATCAAACAAAGTTTAATTTTGGACCCTTTTGATCTCAATGTGGACAAAGTTGATAACGGGGCCCAACAATCAAAAATCTAAATACATGGTTAGATTCAGCATATCAAAGAACCCCATATATTCAATTTTTGTTGAAATCAAACAAAGTTTAATTTTGGACCCCGATTTGGACCAACTTGAAAACTGGGCCCATAATCAAAAATCTAAATACATGGTTAGATTCAGCATATCAAAGAACCCCATTTATTCAATTTTTGTTGAAATCAAACAAAGTTTAATTTTAGACCCCGATTTGGACCAACTTGAAAACTGGGCCCATAATCAAAAATCTAAATACATGGTTAGATTCAGCATATCAAAGAACCCCATTTATTCAATTTTTGTTGAAATCAAACAAAGTTTAATTTTAGACCCCGATTTGGACCAACTTGAAAACTGGGCCCATAATCAAAAATCTAAATACATGGTTAGATTCAGCATATCAAAGAACCCCATATATTCAATTTTTGTTGAAATCAAACTAAGTTTAATTTTGGACCCTTTGGACCTTTATGTAGACCAATTTGAAAACAGAACCAAAAATTAAGAATCTAAATACACGGTTAGATTCGGCATATCAAAGAACCCCAATAATTCAATTTTTGATGAAATCAAACAAAGTTCAATTTTGGACCCTTTGGACCTCAATGTGGACCAATTTAAAAACGGGGCCCAAAATCCAAAAACTTAATACACGGTTAGATTCAGCATATTAAAGAACCCCAAGAATTCAAGAATAAAACCCCATTGAAATTGATCAAGAAATAAGCAATTTATACGAAGTATCTTCTTTTGCACAATACTGTGCAATTGATTATTTCTTGCTATTGCGCAATACTGTACAATTGACAATTTCTTGCTATTGCGCAATATTGTGCTATTGGATATTTCTTGCTATTGCGCAATACTGTGCAATTGAAGATTTCTTGCTATTGCGCAATACTGTGCAATTGAAGATTTCTTGCTATTGTGCAATACTGTGCAATTGAAAATTTCTTGCTATTGCACAATACTTATTATATAATAATTTACACATCCTGTTTGGTGTGTATCTCCTACCATATCATTATTATTTGCTTTTAAATATAAATCAGAAATAACCAACTTAAAATGGAAAATTTTAAAAGAAAAAAAAAAGGAAAAAAAGAAAAAAAAAAGAAAAAAAAAAATCCCCCCCCAAAATTTTTTGAACCCCCTTATGATTCATCACCCCCAAACTCAATCTCAGCCTTCCCTTTGTGGTATGGTACCTTGCAGTACAATTTCAGAGAGATCCATACACTTGAACACAAGTTATTGTCTGGAAACTAGAAAAATGCTTATTTTTGGCCCCTTTTTGGCCCCTTTTTGGCCCCCAATTCCTAAATGTTTCGGGCAATTACCCCCAAACTCAATTCCAGCTTTCCCTTTGTGATATGGAACCTTGTAGTACAATTTCAGAAATATCCAAACACTTACACACAAGTTATTGTCATGAAACTAGAAAAATGCTTGTTTTTTGCCCCTTTTTTGGCCCCTAATTCCTAACATTTTGAGGCAATTACCCCCAAAATCAATTACAGCCTTCCCTTTGTGATATGGAACCTTGTGGTACAATGTCAGAGAGATCCATACACTTACACACAAGTTATTGTCTGGAAGTTACAAAAATGCTTATTGTTGGCCCCTTTTTGGCCCCTAATTCCTTAACTGTTGGTACCATAACCCCCAAAATCAATCCCAACCTTCCTTTTATGGTATTGAACCTTATGGTAAAATTTCATGGAGATCCATTCACTTAAACTAAAGTTAGAGTGCGAAAACCAATGCGTCTTCGGACGACGACGACGACGACGACGACGACGCCAACGTCATACCAATATACGACCAAAAAATTTTCAATTTTTGCGGTCGTATAAAAACCTCAGTAACCCCAGAAACAAAGTGCATAAATTCAATTCACGTCAATGTGCCTCTCTATTCTATTTTAAAAACTGAATAACCTTCAATAATGTAAAGTTTCGGGATCCATGTATTAAAAGTGAAAACAAAAACTTTGCAAAAAAAAGTTAAATCACAAAAATACTGAACTCCCGAGGAAAATTCAAAACGGAAAGTCCCTAATCAAATGGCAAAATCAAAAGCACAAACACATCAAACGAATGGACAATTTTCTTTTAATATTTGCTTCCAAAAGCATAAATGTCAATTTTTATGTGGTCAGGTATTTGCTGTTATAAGCATCAATGCCTAAATTATTTATATTCAAACAGTAAGTAAATAATAATTCAAAATACTGATAGTCAACAAACAAATCATTTTCTCAGGACATCATCTTGTACAATTCAGATACATTATGATTATATCAAGGTTCTTTTTCAATCGTTACATACAATTTTCTTTTCAATGGAACATGTTTTTACAATATCCAATATATTATAATTACTCATTCATAATTTGGTAGAAAATACTACACAAGCACTTATTACAGCAAATCTGACAAAATCAATCAATAAACTAAATGAGCCGTTTGCAAAGTGTTCCCCCATAATTATGCATGAAACAAAATCTCACCGCCTGATATGTAATGAGGAAAATCTATGATGAAAAAGGATAAATTAAATATTGATAAGCCTTCTTCTCAGAACTGCTTTTAGGAAAATTATTTTCATTTTAATGGAAATTTATTTCTCAAATGCTTGTTATGTGAACTAAGAGCCAAGAGTGCCCTTATTGTGCATATTGAAATTACAACAAGAATAAAATGGGATATTTCGAAGGCATTTAATCATAAGCAAATAAAATGGCTCTGTAAAAAAACATGTGTGAGGATAGTTTTTTCAATGTACCAAAAACACTTGTATTTCAAACATGACAATTACTTTTAAATGACAGATACAATGATTGTAATGTTTAGAAATTAGTCCATTTATCTCTTATTGTAAACAATTTTACCTTTTTGTCCTGTGCTGCTGTTTTCATTAAATCCTCTAATTTCTGAAATCAAAATTATGAAAGATGTATTTGTTTCATTTTAATGTTTTGATTATACTTGATAACAGGGTGAAGTGTCTTTTATGTAAAGAATGGACACTATTGAAAAATTCTCCAAAGTTATAACTAGACTTCTGACAAGCATGAAGATGAGATGCACGCTTCAAGATTAATTCAAGAATTCACTGGCCCAAAGTTAAATTTTACGAAAATTTTATTTAAGATTCCATTGGTCTGAATAGATGATTTTTACAAGCCTGGGGCTCTTTTCACAAAAAATCTTACAAAATAAAAGGAGAATGTGTCCATGGGACACAGATGATGCCCCGGCTTGCATGTAACATTATAAAGGGGCATAACTCGAGCTTGATCTGTGTTTTGTGGTAATAAGCATTTGTGTATAAGTTTCATAACATTTGGTTACAAGTATGGACAGACAAGGGTAACACTTAATGCCCCCTCTGGTGACAGCAGGAGCATAAAAAAATTGATTGTAGTTATACTGAAATGTTCATGACTAAAGGTAGATTAACTGTATATCGCCATCTTGGATTGTAAAATAGCAGTACACAATCAGTCTAGTTCTTTATTTAAATCTGAAAATTTAAAGATAGATTGGCAATTAATGTGTAAGACTGTTTATTTGAATAAAGAACAAGAATGTGTCCATAGTACACGGATGCCCCCACTCGCACTATCATTTTCTATGTTCAGTGGACTGTGAAATTGGTGTCAAAACTCTAATTTGGCATTAAAATTAGAAAGATCATATCATAGGGAACAAGTTTCAAGTTGACTGGACTTCAACTTCATCAAAAACTACCTTGACCAAAAACTTTAACCTGAAGCGGGACAGACGGACAGACACATGAACGGACGCAAAGACCAAAAAAAAAAAATTGCCCCTCTATTATTGTAGGTGGGGCATAAAAATAAGTGATTAATTGCATTGTATAGACTATTTTAACATATTTAAATATTTGTGGTTGTTCAAAACAATTTTTCAACTTAGCCATTGAAGGGGAGATAACTCAAATAGCAAAATATTATAAAGGAATGTTAAAGAAATTTTCATTTTTTACTTGTAGCAAGAAAACAAGTTCAGTGTCAGACACAATTTTTATCTCTATTTTCATAAAGCAAATTATAAAACCTATATTTTCATAGGGGCTATTCCAGAAATAAATGTATTGGAGGGTTGGATGGCAGTTGATCTTTTTTTGCATGGGTTGTGGAGGTTGGAGCAAATGTAATTAGTTGTTCTTCTCCACAATTTAATTGGATGGGTGGTTGTACAATAACTTATTAAGATATAGAAGCTTTTGTATATAAATAACATAAAATATGACTTTACAAAAGGTGATAAAACAGGAATGAATCCCTGACAATTTTTATGTTTTTTTTATTTTATAATGTGGATTTATTCATTTCCCCTTAAAGTGGATTTTCTTTAAAACACGTTTTTACTGATAACTGAAATACACAGCAATTTATTTTACTTTTCAACTGCAAGAGAATGTCATTTTAATGAAAAGAAGTACAGCTTTGATTATTTTTGTTTTAAAAAAGTACATTTTATTGGAAACAAGAATGTGTCCATAGTACATGGATGCCCCACTCGCAATCGACCGAAAATCATAATGCCCCTCTTCTATCATAGGTGGGGCATAAAAAAAGAATTTCTTAGTAGACCATTATTTTTAGATTAGAATTTTGTAATTATGTTCAATTCAACTTACTTAATGAATAGTAACAACCATGTAAGACCCTCATGGGTAGTCAAGGTCGTTAAACCCCCAAACCCCCCCTTGTCAAATGAATACTTTTGTCTTCTAGGTTTTTAAAGCTTTAAAGATAATTATTAACAGTAACAGATATAGGCTCTCACTTGTAAATCCACCTTAAGTGCCAGTAAATGTAGTTCCTTTTAATAATTTCTGTATACCTCTATTTGACTACATCTTGGTGAAGGCAACAAATGGATTTTAATATAAGGCATAGGAAACCTCACACATCTCTGCCTAAAGGAAGTCATTTTGAGAATAAAGGGGCTATCTATATTTGTCAATTCAAAAGAAAAATCTGTTGTAAAAATGAGAGCCTCTATAGAAAGTGCCCTTTTTATAGGAATGTGCCCATCTACCCACAGTTTCTAGCCAGAACACTACTACATGTACCTCTGGGTCAATCCATACAATGTACATTCAATATAAAGTATAATATAACATTCATAGATTATTGTTGGTCTTATCACTGTTTTGCGTATGGCATCAATGACATTTTAGTTGACAATGCATGTGCACCCTTTACAGCGAGCTGAGATGAGCCCATATCTCACACTAGCAGAGTGAGATTGTTGAAGATAAAGGAAAAATTAACAAAATAGTAAAAAAAACAGGTTTATTATACCCATATTTTTTATTGGAATTGACTCCTGACCCTTTTCACAAAGTTGGAACAGCCATACCCCAGTTGGAATCTTCCTTTTATATTTTGATATAAATTATATAAAAGTACAAAAGGAGATCTGAAGTCTGAATGAAATTTTTCAAGCTTTGTATTCTAATTCTACAATAGTTGTGTTGAAAGTCATTATATACCTAAAAGATATAATAGTTTTTAAGTAGATCATTGTACACTGCTGTATTGACTTTCATTTTTTTTTAATTAGATGGGTGGTGGTATCAAACCTCTATTTAATTATATGGGTTATGGGTCGCTGAAAAAATCTATTTGTATGGGTCATGGGCATCCCTACATTTATTTCTGGAATAGCCCTAGTTTATTTTAAAATTCTATTTCATAGATTTCTTTTTAGTCACAAATAAGTGTTTTTGCATGAATAATCTATGCAATTTTGGGCAATTTTGCACGACCTGTAGTTTGAAAAATAGCACAGTGACCCATACTTTTTATCATTATTTAAAAAAAAAGCATGGTAAAATCTACATTGTGGCAAAATACTTATAGAAAATTGTATCTAAGGAAAATACAGATGATCCACCTTAAGAGTATTTTTTCATTGTGAAATGAGTTGCAGGGCCTATGCTTAAGCGTGAATAAAGAAGATGACCATTATAAGTGTAATTACATGATAAATAATCACTTAAAAAATTGTACATCATCATATTTCCTGCCACAACTACTAGCTTCTCTAATGATGACAATAAGATACACCCTTATAGTAAATAAATTTAAATCATGTATAGCAGTGCTCTATTTAGCTGTTAAGGTAGGTCTGGTGTCTACTTGAAGCATCCCTTATGGGAGGGTAGGAATGCCCTTTACCGTCAGGCGTCAAACGGTCATTTTCGGCTACAGTTAGCGTCAAATTGGTTAAAATTTTACCGTGAATCGTCAAAATATCCTTAACGTGATTCGTCAGAGGTCTCAAATAATTATCGTTACCGTTATTTTTGGAAAAAATTTAGCGTGATTTGTCAAAATCAGTCGATTCTTTTCTCTTCTAAAAGAAAGTGTGCATTTTATCATCATGCACCAAAAATTACCGTTAATGTCATTTGGCAAGAATTTTTACCGTTATTCTTCATGAAGGTACCCCCCCATTACGACCCTCTTATGGGCATATTGTAAAAATACTTTTTTGGTTTACAAAATTTTTCGAAGTACCATACAATATAAAACAGAAACATCTAAAACTTGAAAGTTAGAGGTTAAAATATAAAAAAAAATCAAGGGTCGTTAATTGTATTTTAAATTTTCAGAAAAAAATCCTTTTAAAATCAAGGGCAGATAATTATATTGAATTTGATAGGACAATTTGTGTTCTTTAATTGTTTCAAGAAAATAAGGCCCTTGACCCTTTATTTTTACTCGATATTTCAGATGTATTTATGAAAAGCATTTCTTTCATTGAATTTTAACCTATTCTATCGTTTAATGACTCCTCAATAAAGAAAAATAAAGTTTCCCCTGTATAACCTATATAAAATAACTGTGATTTCGTTATCAACTTCAATGTATTTTAACGAAAAAAACAAGGTCCTCGACTCCCAGTTTTTATATTGAAATTTGAAAGTACAGTGACACAGAAGTCTTTCACAGAAGTTTAAGAAAAATCTATTGTTGAACATTTAGACACCCCAGCTACCTTAATTCATGTATATGTAACAATATATCTGTTTGGTATTAAATTAATATAATTAAGATCCATTGTGTTACATCTGTGATCCGTTTATTTGGCAATCGCCATGGCAGTCAGCAGGGTTTAAGAACATCCGTTGTTCGACCTGCTAGTCAAATGCGTTTTGTTAAAATATACTTTTTCACTTTTTTGGTCTTTTGGAAAATGTTGTTTGTGCTGTATTTAGACCCCTCTACAAAGAAATTTGTTTTGCCTGCACACATATAAAAATTGCGGTTTTTATCCAACGCAATCATAGGTTTGAACGTTGTTTTCAATTTAGACTTGTTAACAATATATATATATATATATATATATACCCCTATCATCCTGTTCTTTTGTGTGAGATCTTGTTTATATCGTTCATTCTCTAGTTTCACTTTCTTCAAAGTCTCAGTCTGATCGTCTACTACATCCTATAAAACAATATTAAACTGCTGAAATGAATGTTTATAATGAATATGAATAAAAGATATGGAGTATATTTCATATTAATGAAAAATAAACAGACAAAACAAAAAACATTTAAGACATCTAGAGGTTAAACTCTCTTTTACTGGTACAAAAGACAACAAAAACACTAGTACAAATTACAATTCTACAAAAAATACTGTATATGAGAATGATTCATATTTCGGAAAGCAAGCTAAAAGGACTTCTCCTGTTACAGAAATTATGTTGCTTCCACAATATATATTTATTAATATAAATTTGACCTCTGCTGATTAAAAATACATAGGTTGGTAAGAAAAAGTGTCTATATTCTATATTTTCTTTATGACTCCTCAGACTGCAAAAGAAATTCTACAAACATAAAGTATTAAACCATAAAACTTTTAAAGTAAACCTTTTAAAATGTTTAAGAATGCAAGTTTATGGACCATTTCAGCTAACTTGTTAGATATCATAAATATATGATTATATTAAAACCATCACCAATATAACATTGCAGAAGGAAATTATAGGTTCTATAGAATGGTACTAGACTTGCTACAATTCCCTTTCTTCTGTTTCTTTCTTACTAATTTATATGTTTACTGAAAACTGCCACTATACTGATTGCCTTCCTCTGCAGGTGTCAGTATAATGGAAAAATCTTAGTTATAGCAGTAAAATTGTTCAAGGGTAAAATTGAAAAAAAAAAAATAGGAAGGGACATGTAGGAAGTCTAAGAATGGTACATATAAGTACTGATGTAAAGGTGGTAAATACTGCTATGTGGTCAATTTTCACTAAATTCTTCATTAAAATAAAATCTCGAAATTATTCCCTAAAAAAATTTGATCAAGAAAAAACACACAATTTAACCTAGCAAAAAAATGTGTTGCTTGAAATCATGAAATAGACCACTTTACAGTATAAACTTATAACCAAGAGAAAGTATACTGTAAATTCAGATAATAATGTGTTAATCTGTATTAAACCAATAATAAGAAATTAAGTTCAGGTAATTGGTGAAAATGTTACAGTTAAAACTGTGAGCTACTGCTCACAAATGATACCCCTGCGTTAAGGAAATCGGTAAACAGGAAGTTGATGAGTAATGAATCTTGAAACGCATCACACTGCATAGCATGTTCACATGAAACTGATCAAATATTTCAGGAAGGTCTGATTTGCAGATTCTGAGAAACATATGACAGAATTTCATGGGACAGACAGACAGAGGTAACCCCTCCTTTGGAACGGTGGTATAATTAAAGAAAACATTAAAATGAAAGTACAATTATTGCAATATCCATGCTAGAGCTTTTTATTAAAATATTAAAGGCTTCTTATCAATTTTCTAAATTAACACTTGTATCATTATATAAATAAATATAAGTCGTTTATACCAACATAAGAAGCATACAGGAGTTGAGGCATTAAGGCCTTTTTTTTTGGCCCAAGAAAAATGATTTTTTTAAGATCATCTTCTTCAAATTTGCAAATAATATAGGGAAATGCATAATATCAAGAAATATAAATTAGTCAGACAAGATTTTCAATGTTATAATAAACAAAAATATTGATTTCTATTCATATTTCCATTATGGAAACATTGTGCACAGCCAAGAAACAACAAAATAATTTAAGCAACCTTTCTATTGCCACTAATTTTTATAGCTTTTTACATATTTTCACTAAATTAAAAGTTGTTTCTTGGATGTGCACATGTATACTTTACCAATCCCAAATATATTAAAAAAAGGTGAAACAAAATGTGGAAAATTAAGACATTTTAAAAGTATACAAATTTCGTCATAGTTTGTTCCCATGTTAACTGGTCAAATACTAGTATTTAATTAGTTATTAATTTCTGAACACCTGTTATCTCAAATAGGTCAAGAGAAAATTAAGTTCATGCATAGTAACTTTAATATTTGCACTAATTCTATGGCCAAATACAAGCTGATACTCCTTTGAAATCACTTTCTCTTGCAAAATATTTTTTATTTTTTTCTGGATAAGCTCTCAAGACTGTTTGCAAAAAAAGGAATTGGGTGTCTGAAGACAACTTTTTAATTATATAGTTCAAGCAAAGCTATGGTTTAGACCTAAACAACCATTGAAATGTATATGCCTTCAAGTGCCTACAAAGAACCCAAGATATTTTTTTCTAGAACAGGCCTCAATAAATGGGTATTGTATGCAACCAGCACTTTCCAGCTAGTCAAGTGCTAAATTGAATGAAAATAAACCACCCTGAAAGGCATTGGCCTATCACCAGTGAAAAGAATCAAGAGGATTAATATAATTGAAATACCAGAATACTCCTAAGTTTAGTTTTGTAATTTAAAAAGATATGGAGGTGCATAACACTAAAGGCAGATAACTCTTATTTAAGATAAAAACAACAGCATTTTAGATGCAGTGTTTTAAATATTTGAAACATCTTAGTGACATTAAATCAAAGCCAATTACATCTACTTGTAAGCAATTGGATATTATATGGATTCAGTTAAATTGTATCTTTTCCCTTGAAGATTCCTTTGTAACAAATACAATTCTCCTATTTTGTTCAATTTAATTATGAATCTATGAAACAAAGAATCTGATATTTTCCCAGGGACATCTTTTGCATTCAATTCAGCACCATCTACAATGCTTAACAATTATAAAAAAAATTATTCCCTCAAAGTCTGGTAGCAGATGTACCTAGACAAAAAAATTCAGTTGTTTTTTTTTGGAGAGGGTTGGCAAATTCACTATCATAAGTTAAGGCAGCAGCCATGTTTGATGGCTATGTGGTCATTACCAATAATTCTAGGTGGATGTAAAATTGCTTAAAATGTTGGTAGCAATTGGTTTTCTATAAGTTTTTAGATTTTTTAAGGATTTGTTTGTCAAATTTTTATATTAAAGTTAAGATGGAAAGTCTTAACAATGGCTCATACTGGATCTTAAGGACAAATAAGCTAATGAACAGCTAAGAAACTTTGAAAATACTAAAAATTCTTTAAATTGTTGGTCACCACCCTAAAATGCCCAATTTATATTAAGAGATATTAAAAGCTTCCACCAAGATTAAGGGAGACAAACCTGTAGATGATTATTGACTAAGATAGACTCTCCATCAACAAAAGTCTTTTCATGGACAACTGATGTTAATTGCTGATGAAATAAACAATAATATAAAAACATTTTTAATACATGACTTGCAAAACAAATTGACAGAAGTTAGGACAGACATTTAAAAAAATGAACTCAAAGGTTGAGAAGAATGAAGTAGAAAGAATAAATTTGTTCTAGGATTATATATAATATAAGTTGTAAATGCAAGAATAGCTGACAAATTTAACTCAAGTCTTTATATGAATCCATTTAAAGAAAATACTGAAAATGCATACATGCTGTCATTCTACATTCTATGAAATTTGAACAATGCTAAGTAAACGTAAGAAAACTAAACATTGCATTCAAATTTCTGGTAGCATACCTCAATATCTCTGTCTTTCCTGTTGACTTCTTTTTCCATATTTTCCATTTTGTCACTCAATTCATAATTAGCCTGTTGAAGTTTTTGCATATTTTCATTATAATGTGCTGTGTCCTTCTGAAGTTCTCCAATCAAACTGAAATCATAATAATACAACAATCAAAATCCCAGATGGAATACAAATACATCAGCTGAGATATGATGTGACTCAAAAATTTTGGAAATGGAATAAGTAGTAGAATTGACAGTAAATTCACATATAAATATTTCAGTGATGAACTATTCAAAGACATAATTCTATAAATAGTGTTTTCCTGAAAGTTGTATTGAAACAGATATCAAAATCTATTTCCATTTAAATTTCATATCTAATTTCATATTTTCTTTTCATACAGCTTAATTAGAAAGTATGTGAAATTGTGGTTATAAAAGCAAAATTTACAAGGGGTCATTTTTAAGTGCATCAGCAACAGTTTTTCATTTGAAAGATAATTTTTTACATTCCTGACCCAACATTTTAAACTTTACAACAACCATTAAGGCCGAATAAGCAGTCAATTTATGATACAAGTGCCTGAGAAAAGACTGTGGCAAACTTAAAAGAATTATGAGTACATCCAACTTTTTAGGGCCGCTATCAACCAAAAATGTTGTTTCCATAATGTTTTCCAGAAGTATGATGTTTAAATTATTAGTCACAATGAATTAACAATATTTAGGGCACATATGTCAATTGTATTTGTACAGTAATAGCCAGATCTTTTTTCAATACTTTTCAGGGTTTGAAAATAAAAGAGTTGTTAACTTTTATAGTATACTGTTTTGTTTTTCTCAAAGATGAACTTGGTCGCAAATGCTTTCTTGGTTTGTAAGTTTTACTGTTTGATGCATTAAGATGTGAAAAATTTATACCATATAGAGGAAGTAATTATGATTTTTATTTTTAAATAATCAGGAAAATACTCAGCATCAAAACATTTATCCTTCCATGCTGATACAGTAAAAAAATATGTATTCATATTTTTGGGATTAGGAGACATGCTTATTTTTTTAGCAAATGATTTATTCAATCAGAATTATATTGGCCATATTTAGATAGACGATGGATTTTACGGTGAGATTGTTTGATATATATAGATTCTACCACTGCATCGACTGTGATACAATATTTCTCCACTTGAATTTTCAAATTCAAAATTTTAGGCTCGCAGTGCGTATTAAATATCTAATATTTAACTGTCAAGAGAGGAGAAATATAGTAGTGCATGAGATTTGGTAGTGGATATTTCTCTTAATGATTTTAAGAAGATAAGCAGACAAACTTAATCCTCCTTTTCCAATGATCTGCAAAAAAGATGTGTTCTTTCTATGTGATGTCATCAAGCATGTTCGCCTTTTTTGTGATGCCACAGAGGAAAGCAAGCAAATTTGACGTCATGATTCAATTCTGACCAATGAAGAACTGCGATAAAACGAACCACATATTAATTAAATAAATGGAGAATGTGTCCATGAGACACAGTTGATGTCCCCTTTTGCATATAATAATGTTATAAAGGGGCATAACTCGAGAACAGTAAAAGTGACGCCACCCAAATTCTAACTTGAGATGTGTTTTGTGGTAATAAGTATTGTGAACAAGTTTCATAACATTTGGTTGTTATTAAAGCTATAGAACGGAAACCACTTTTAGGACGTACGTACGGACAAGGGAAACACTTAATGTTCCCTCCGGTGACAGTGGGGGCATAAAAATAATAATCAACATGTCAGGAAAAGTATAAATCAGCTAAGAATAAGAGATGCTGTTATAGCTTACACACCATTTTGACCAGGTGACCAAAACAAATAACATGTGAAGGATCTAGTTTAACAAATAATACTATAACTTACCTTTCTTTAGCTGCAAGTGCATCTCTAAGATCCTACAGAATAAACAAGACATATATGAGAGAGTAACAAAAATACATTTAAAATTGATATCCAATTTCTGATGAAAATGTGATAAATTGCACCAAAGCATATAAATGTATGTAGAAAATTACTAACATATAAATAGAATACAAGGTTTTGTGCAGAAGTGAATACTTAAAAGACCCCTTACTTGTGACAGGCACATGAACATTTGGCAGGGTATAACAAATTTGTTGTTATCACACTCTCCCCCTTTTAATCTTGATTCGTGAACTAACAAAAAGTTGAAATCAAACATTCCATACATAAATTGGTATTATTGACCTAATTCAGCTCATATCGTTTAATCTCTAACCTGAATTTGTATCTGTGTCTTATGACCAGATTCAGCATATTGAGTCTGTGATTGAACAATCTGCTCCTGTAAATTTTTAACTTCCCTGTCCGTCTTTTCAAGTATCTTGTTTGCTTGACCCAATTCCTGTAAAAGAAATGATAGAAAAATAGAGCCAGATCTTGGCATTCTTTTATGCAAGTACTTTTCATTTTTTATACTCACTTCATGTATTTTCAGAGGTCAATATTAAAGTTAAAAAAGTATGTATCTTGTAACCAATAGAGTCTTCACAATGAAAGAAAATTATAATCCTCACTTGTTCTTTTGGATCATGCGTTTTTCGCCATTCGTTTGGTGAATTACTTATAAGGGCTATTCCATTAAAATGTATGCGGGAGGGTAGGAAGGGAAGTTTTATTATTGAATGTGGGTCATGGGTCTTTTTTCAGTATGGGTCTATTACCATTATGCAAAATTATCTAAAAAATGGTTCTTGGTTGTAGGGATATTTTGAAAGTCCCTTCCTACCCTCCCACATACATTTTAATGGAATAGCCCTAACTTTAATTATATGATATTTGCACGAATAACAACTTATATGAAATGAGTACATGCAATTACTCATTATTAATTTCATACCAAATATCAGCACAATATAACTCAGAATTGTGGAACATTGTGAATATAAGTATCCATTCAATCCTATATTGAGGATCTTTTTAATTTATAAGAAAGGCATTGCTTATCAGAGGTTATGAAAGCTGTCATCAAGCACATATACAAGATTTAGAAAAAGGACCATCTAAAAGTTCATTTTATATCTAGAATCAATCTGTTTTAAACTGGAATCAGACAATGTCTCAGCTAATCATACCTCACAGTAATTACTTTATAGTCAGGGTCTGATTATGGTTTCTAGAAAATCTAGCATAAAAAGATGTGCATTAAAAAGTCCAATTCAATTTCAACAAGTATAGAGAATGTATTCTCAAAGGAAATGCAGATTTTAAAACTGTAATGCTGAGATAAGTCATTTCTACAGTTTGGGCTAACTATGCAGATGATCCAAAATTAAAATTTCCCTGCAAACTTTTGCAACAACTACAGTTGAGAAAGATACTATACCTGTTGTTTTTGATTGATTTCATCCAGCAATTGTTTGACATTTTTCTGATGTTCCTTTTCAATCTGGTCCCTGATTCCATTGAGTTCTAACTCATGCTGCTTTGACATTGCTTCCATTGCATTTCTGAAATGGCAAAGTATATGTTATTTTAAATATTTTGATCGGATGAAAAGGACGAAAAACTATCTCACAGAAAATTTTATTACCAGCAACAAAATTTGACAAGGTTTAGTAACATGACTACCTTCTAGCTCTTCTTTGGCAAATGAACATTGATTGATTGATTGATAGGTGTTAAACGCAACTTTCAGCACTATTGTGCTATTTTGTGGCAGTCAGTTTTTATCGGTGGAGGAAGTTTGAGTGCCTTGAGAGAACTACCAACCTAAAATCCTAGTCAATTGAGATTGGAGTCCAGCGCAAGGCTAGTGATACAGTAGTTCAACTACTTAGACCACTCGGCCACCAAGGCCCTCTGGGAAAATATACATTACACTGAAGGAAGGCTTCTGAAAGCAGAAGAGAACTAGGCTGCTTGAAATGTATTTCACAATCTATGTAGCATATTGTACAAACTTACGAAGCTTTCTTTAACAACTCTTGTTTGTCTGAATATTCATTTTTAACACTCTCTAATTCAACCTTCAGTTCTATATTCTGTAATGAAAAACAAATTATTCATATTTAATAAATTTTGTCTTCACACCATATGGTAGTTAAATAGGAATATATATAATTTATACTATCCAAGCTACATATCAAGTTGTCTCACTGTCCATCATAAATCATATATTAATTTTGTCTATTTTGTATGTGACAAGTCAAGGGAGGCAATCATATGTAAGATTTTTAAAGCAGTGAGACCTAGGTCAACCACAATTTGTATGGAGGTGGTTTGTTGCAAGATCTTGTATTTAAACCATTTGTAGTTTCCTGGCCATACTTAATGAAGTTTCTGGAGGAGCTGTGGGTCTCACAAAGAAGACAATATTGATGATCAAAATATATTGTAAAGTTGCCATATGAATTGTATTTCCTTCTGACATGATATGCTTGTTTCTTAGAAACAGTGCATGACAGGTCAACATTATTTGGTGGCTTTGATGTTTGGAGAACATTTCTGTTTGACAACCTCCATCTCATTTTTAGTCTCTAGTGATCAAATTAAGCTTTTGAATCATTTTTCTCAGTAACGAGCATTTATCGGTCTTTCCTCTGCCTATATCACTTTGCTCAGCTCTACATAAAATTGTATATGATGGCTTTGTGAATTCAAGTATATACTTGACAAGGACTTATCACCAAAGTCATGTTTAAAATGACATTGATAATTTTGTCCAAAACTTATCAAGTCCTCCTCGGTTTGCTGGTTTTAAACAACAATGAAAAAAAATGTTTTTCTATCATGAAAAAAACCCATTTGATAAATCAATACTTATGAATATTCACTGCATGTCCTGATAAACAAGTTGAGTTTTTACAGATTAAGACTGTATCAATCTTGAATGAGATCATTTGTATTTTGCATATAATTTTTTCAACTTTAAAACTTAAAATTTGTTGGAACATACCTTTTTTATAACATATATTAAACTATACATACTGTTTTAAAAACATCACTGTCGCCAAATTTCTGTTGCATCCGCTCTTCAAGGAAGTATATCCTCAACTTTAAACTAAAGTTTTCTTTTTTCAACTCTGTCAATTGCTACAGAAAATGTAAATAATAATCCAAATTATACCTTGGTGCATACTGCTAAAAATTTATTTTTATTCTGACAATATGTTTTCATGGTAAAGAAAGGCTATAGGGTAGATGTGGATTTGTAGATGTAAAACCTCACATACCACAAATAAAAATATTCCTACATCATGAAAGTATATTTGTTACTCTTTTTCAATTGCACAGTTAACGTTGCAATAACATTTACCTGTATATCATTTCAACAAAATATATAAAATATTTTAAAATCTTATTAATAACTTTTTAAATTTATGAAATATAAATTCAAACAAAAAAAGAAGGTATCAAATTTATATTCCAAATGATAATTACATTAATGTCTATAAATTTTCCTCAAAAACTATAATCTTAAACAGGTTATTTCAGTTGTCGGATAGTAGAACCAATTCTAAGCAATTAATCTCAACTAAGTCAACAATAAGCAGTTTTATCCCCGGCTTAGTATATTTCTAGGATTTTGATTGGTTAACGCACGTCGTTACGAAACCCATAGCCCCTGGGTGTTGCTAACCCATATCCCCGGACGTTGCTACCCATTACATCAGGGAACTTCACGCACGATTTCCTTAGTTTCATGGTTGTTCCTTGTGAAATATCGAATTCTGTAGATTATTCATGATGTCTGTAATTAAATATTTAATCAACTAACGATTTTATCTTATTATGTCGATCATTTGCACTCATTTTAGTAAATGCATTACTTGGCTGCCACAATGTCAATGAATGGGACTACTGACCTAGCTATGCAAATGACCCACGTTGACGTCACATCGTCTATGATGTAACTCTCACAACATTGAGCGCCAAATTTGACCCATTCCTGTTTCTCTGTCTCTGGATTAAAAACGTCTTATATTTGACTACCTGTAGGGTTCTATCAAAGGTAGTACCCTACACCCCTTTAAAAATATGTCAAATTCCCAAATTTCAATAAAAGATTTTTAAAAAATGAAAAAAAAAAACGTTGCTTTCACATTACATTTTGTGGTTGAATTTCTCTAAAAATCGCAAGATTTGGACTAAGACCGGGGATAAATTCGTTATCTACGTTCATATCCGTAGATATGAATATTTTAACACCCTTCAGTACCCTGTACACCCTTCGGCTTCGCCTCAGGGTGTACTTGGATACTTCAGGGTGTTAAAATATCCATATCTACGGATATGAACGTAGATAACTTGTATTAAATCCCTGTTGATTCAAGGATAATATTTGATTTATATGAATACAGAAATTATTCATGATCTTTGAAGTAATAAAGTCATGAAGCATCTGACTGCAAGGGGATAAAATATAGTTTAAAATTAGGCCTTCAAAATTTGACTTGTACTTCAAAGCAATAATTATATAACTATATAAGGCCCTTATTACATACAGTCTTTAAAAGTATTTGGTTACTATAAGCAATACCTTAAAATGGTAGTCTATACTTTGCTATTTGAAACTCCAAAACTCATTCTAATAAATAATGTTCGTAGGATTGTTATGCAACATTGAAATATAATTTACACATGTACACATGGTACATGCATTCTATCATGTTTTGGAAAAAAAAAAAAATTTATCCTGTCATTTAAGATCTATGTCCATTTTAAATTGAGATCACAAATGACCTAATTCTATACAAGGCGTCTTTTAGCTATCAAAATAGCAATGCAACACTGAATTGAAGATTACAAAATGTTTAGCTATTACTTAGACCATCAATACCTGATCATACTCCTTCATTGTTCTGCCTCTCACAGGGGACATCCTCCCACTGTTGTTCTTGGCAACCACTGCAAAAGAAATATATATACATATATATATATAAGTCTAAATTGAAATTCTAATATGACGTCCTTCTTTCACTTTGGAAAAAAAGCCATGTTCTAATTACAATAAAACATGGGCTGCACGTGATTGACGTCACAATTGATATTGCAACGTCACTTATATTTTGAACAATGCCAGAGGTCGAAATGGACAGTTTTGTTGGTGTTGCTCGCTAGGAAATTAATAAAATCATTCTAAAAGTAGGTTTACGTATATATGTAATTTTTTTATCGTTCAACTGTTGATTTTCTATAATGTTTTTGGTTCATCAAATCAAAATGGCTGCCTTTTGAATGTGTACTATAGGTCCGCTTCAACGTACAAAAGCTGTAAATATTCCTATCAGAATCGAAATAATTCTATCATGCCATGCTTTATGCTCATTTTAACATGGGTAGGCATAATTTGTCAATATTTTACACCTCGCTAACTCTCGGTTTAAAGAAATTGACAAATATAATGCCTACCCATGTTAAAATGAGCATAAAGCATGGCATGAAAGAATTATTTCTTAAACAAATTTCAAACCTATGATTGCGTTGGATAAAAATGCGTAAGGGTTCAGCAGAACCCAGTGTCTCGCCTACTTTTGCAGTTGTCTATGTTTTCAGTGTGATAGGGGAATGTACATAATAGATTTACAGTTAATGAAATAAAAATCCAGGATGGTTTACGAATCTAATAAATGTTTTAAAAACTTCAACTTTAACTGTATGTAATGTTAGGTGGAAGAAAAACTAAGTCCATTTATATGTAATATACAGAAAAACAGGAAATAAGTTTTTACAAAATTTCCTACTAGATACTAGCTTTTGATCATAAACAAGCTTCTGTCCAAGTTTGGTACAAATCCAGGATAGTTTAAGAAAGTTATTAAAATTTTGAAAACTTGAACCACAGAGTGAATGTAATGTTGACTGGCAGAAAAACTAAGTCCATATATAAGTAAAATACAAATAAACGGGATTTTTTTTTTTTACAAAATTTACTTCTAGATACTATCTTATGATCATAAACAAGCTTCTGTCCAAGTTTGCTACAAATCCAGGATAGTTTAAGAAAGTTATTAAAATTTTGAAAACTTTAACCACAGAGTGAATGTAATGTTAACTGGCAGAAAAACTAAGTCCATTTATAAGTAAAATACAGATAAACAGGATTTTTTTTTTTACAAAATTTACTTCTGGATACTTTCTTATGATCATAAACAAGCTTCTGTCCAAGTTTGGTAGAAATCCAGGAAAGTTTAAGAAAGTTATTAAAATTTCAAAAACTTGAACCACAGAGTGAATATTTGTGGACGCCAACGGAATGTAGGATCGCTATGTCTCGCTTTTGCGACAAGACTCGCAGGCTCGACAAAAACCACAATTTTTATATGAGTGCATGCAAAACAAAATTCTTGAAAGAGGGATCTAAATAAAGCACAAACAACATTTTCCAAAAGACCAAAAAAGTGAAAAAGTATATTTTAACAAAAGCATTTGACTAGCAGGTTAAACAACAGATGTTCTTAAAACTCTGCTGACTAGCATGGTAATTGCCAAATAAACGGATCACCAGATGTAACAAAATGGATCTTAATTATTTATTTAATACCAAACAGAAAAAAATTTACTTGCGGAAAAGATGATATGCCGCAAACATGAGGTGCAAAAATTTGTACACCATATCCGGATTTCAACAATTAATGTCTCTTCAGTGATATATATATATATATATATATATATATATTACGTGCTACATTAATTAATACATGTAATATGTAGGTACAATATATTAATGAATGAAATTTTCATGTTTTTTTCGTGTTTAAAATACAATCTGTACATGTATACATGTGTCTTTTTTCATCATGGAGATATAGCAATACTTGATTGAAATTGGCAAGTCTGCAAAAAGAAAACAAATTTCATCTAGTATCTCTACCAGTGGTCTCATTAGCCCAAAATAGAAGGGTACTGCGCCCTGGGTGCCCTCAACCGTGCCCTGAGTGCCTTCATCCGCGCCCTTCTGCCCTGACGCCTTTTTCCCAAAAACCCTTGTGCCGTTTTGGTAAAATTGCCTTTTGTTTCATCGCTTTCTTATCACAAAGTTAAATTACATATATAACACCAGGTGATTGCCCCCAGGTTAATCATGTCATTACAATCAATTACAGTGGATAAGACTTCAAATGTGATAATAACTAGGTAATTTAATTAAGACAATGTACCTTTTTGTCATAAATTTGATGAATGTGTCAGCGAGTCTTTTTAGCTTGGGTCTGCATTTTCGATCTCCAAGAAGAGTGTATAAATGAAGACTTTCATGACTTTAGAATAGAATTTAAGTCATCAAAATACAACCATGCCTTCACAGAAACGCCGTCCATCTCAACTTGTAAGCGACAAGCAAACAGTAAACGTGTTAGAAATTAATTTTGGAGTTACTTCCCCTGTTTTAGCTTATTACAAATTTGTGCTCCTAAAATATTATCTAGTACTAAAAATGGGAATAAATTACCAATTGAATACAAAATTATATAAGACTGTTACCTTAAGGATATTAAATGTCTTTGAACATATATTGCAATTTATTTTTGATAATCATACTTTTAGCAATCCATGTTCTATACATTGTCAATTAAGAAATTTATAGGTTCAATTGTTATGATGATGTTAAGCTGCAATCCTACAAAAATGGGTAGTGTGAAGTTAAACTGTCATGACATCAACCTGATAAAGCTTTACTAAATAATTCCTTAACACAAACAATGAAAAAAAGTTTTGAGTGCCAAACTCTAGCTGCAAATTTTGAAGACAACTCTGTCACATGTATGCTAAACTATGAGATGTTTAGTTTATGTTGTTTTTATTTGGAAAAGGGAGGGGGGAAGAATAGTAAGTTAATTTGCCTCTATTGGTTTATAGTGATGTGATGTATGAATGTGTATTGACATGTTTTATGAACATATCGTATGAATTACATTTTCTAATGCAAATTTTATAGAATAAATAATCAAAACAACAACTTATGCACCTTTATTAACAACATATGCAGTAAAAAAAAAAGAATGTGAACTCGTGATACACACAGAAACGTAGACAAAAGAAATGAGCAGTGCCTTTTCCTTTTATAAAAAAGTGCCCTGCCCCTTTTGATTTCTAACTGGAGCACTGTCTACAAATAGCTTGGTTCCTAGAAATTTGTAAATACATGTTCATGTGTCAGGAAAATGAGTATATACAGCTATGACATTATCTATGAGATCTCCTATACTTGTATGATAATGTTGCAGGTCAGAACTTGAGGTATCTCACAATAAGATTTCACAAGACCTGAAAATACATTTAATTGCCGAGTATCCTTATCCATTCATTAATGTCCCATACTTATACAGGTTGCACTTTGTAAATACAGCTGTTTTACAAACCACACCTCTTTTGGGGAGATATATAATATTTATAGATACTTTGTTTTGTTTACGTACTGGTTCCCAGATACGATTTCTATGTTTCATCTCAATAGAGAAATAACTTGGGAATGTTACCAGTATAAATACACATGGATAGCGACCATATTGAATTTTGAGGAAGACCCAAAGTGAAGGGAGGGTAGTACAGAATTTTAGTATAATATCTGGGCATATAGATGTTGAGAATATGCCACATAGCCCTATGTTTTGACCTTTGAAAAAAATAGTAGTGCATCCATTCTAGAATAATTTTTTTAAGAAACTTCATAGTAAAAGTGGCACAGATTAATAAGGCAAGTTTCATTTAAATTGCTAAAGAGCAGAATGTAGGTCATAAGTCATTTAGTAACAACCAAATTGTTGCAGATATATTGTATTGAAAATCTATATATAAATTTTCATTTTTGGATAGGCATGATACATTTGTGATAGGCATGATCAAATCTGACTTACTTGGAACTGAGCCGTCTGGGTACTCCATGTGTGTCCCAAAGGTTACCTCATGTAATACATTGGCATTGGTGCTGAAATGCAAGATGAAATACTTATGATGAAAATATCATATCACAATATTTGTTCACATTTTAGAAAGTTTAAAGGTTAAACTGGGTAAGTTCTGCATTAGTGCAGGCAAAGCTCACAAAAATGAACCCCAATCCCCATTAAAGCAATTGCTTGGTTTGAAGCCACCTTTTTGGGATTTAAAAAACCATAATTATTATAATAAGAATTGAACCATCTATCCACACACCCTAGAGAATTTCCTGATCAACATATATGCCTGAAAATCTTCAAAATTCAAGCATAATAAATGGTCATCATCTTTTTTTTTCAATTCTCATAAAACAACTCTGCAAGTACTTGTGGAAAACAGCCGCTACTTGATTGACATCTCTACATGTTTTACATGTACCGCAAAACAGAACATTATAACATTTTACATTTTTATGACCAATCATATAAAACTTGATTATGTGTTTAAGTTATTCTAATTATTCTTAATAACAATTGTAACATAATACTGGTTGTGATTTATTTAACAGAATATCAGTTCCACAGTAATCATTTCTTCTAATAGAAGAAAATTATATAGAAATTATTTTTTTTTTCTGAAGCAGTATTGATTATTTGCAAGTGCCTTAATTATCTGAAAAATAAATGCTCAATACATAGTAGTAACTGCTGGGGGAAAAAACCTTTTTGCTGTCAAGTTTGTGTATAGAAAATTCTATTCAGTCCATATTGCATCTAATTCAATAAAAAAACTTGAAATATTTATATGCCTAGTATATATGCAGAAAATTTATTTACCATAATCAAACTACATGTAATAAATATTAGTGTCCAGATCACTAAGAAAATTGTAATGCTATCCTTGAAAAATTTACATTTCTCCCTGTTCAACTGTTAAAGAAAATATGCTTTCAGGTTTTATAACACATATTACAATTGGTAGCTACAAAAACATTACTGTTAAAGTACTTGTATTTATGTAGTTTGCAGAGTTTTGAATTTATGTGTACAAATTTGAACAAGCCTTTGGAAAAGATAAGTGGAAAATATGAGTTTCTTTCAGTTTGCCCGAAAAGATTCATGCTTTTGATTTTATAATTATTTCAATTTAAAAATGAGGGAAAACTAGATAGTTTCAGGTATCTTTAAAGAGTTTCATATGTATCATTCTTCCAAAATAAAATTATCAATTTAACATCAACAGTCTTACCCAACTTGTTTACATATCAATACAACCCTAATCATCTGCACCCTTCAGGACTAAGTCAGGACCATACTGTCAGTGGGAGGAAGAGGCCCTAGTATCTCTGCAACACAGCTATTCTCAGGTTCATAATGTAGGACATTGATGAGGATGAATAGGTGTTTAATTCCAGTGGCAAATATTACATGCATATCATGGACAAAAACATATTTTGTTTATATGAACAAGGACACACCCGTGACATAGTGGGTCTGTGAATGAATTAAAGTACCTATGCCTTATTTTTAGTCTGGATTTTTAGTATTCGTATTGTTATCTGATAAAGTCATGCTGATTGTAAGGTGCACAGTTTTCTCTGCTTTCAAAATCTTTCTGTTTGAACTCGTCTTGGTTTTCTTACTACAATAGACTTGCTATTAACTAAATTTAATTTTATAACTAAACAACCAAAATTAAAAGTGGTTTTGAGGTGGAAGAAAGCAGATTTGTTAAATAGTACTGTGGATTCATTATTATTCGTTGTATACCAATTTTCGTGGATTTCGTTGGTCAAGGTGAACCACGAAATTAAATGTTCAACGAATAACAAATTTCCAATAGGCTTGTATGCAAACTTCGACAAAACCACGAAATTAAATATCCACGAATAAGTGAATCCACAGTATACTACTATAGTAACTTACTATAGTGTAACAGATATAAACAACTACTGGAAGAATTCCAGGTTCTCCTGATAGAGGAGGGATTTACACAAGGTAACAGGTACCTACAACCGGAAACTACATGTGACATATACTGTTGGTATCGGTATCGGATTCAGATTCGTTCCAGAACTTGTTAATTATTGGTATAAATATTAATTATGTATAAAACAAAACTTTAAAGAGCCTGGAATGGTGTAATTTTTAAACAACACTATTGCCCTATATTAGTTATATATAAAGTTGAATTCTTTGATTCATTGCTTTTACATCATGCCGGCTAACAAATTGGACCTCGTTATTTTAGTAGTATATATATATAAACCCTGGTTTGTCCTAGACTTGAGCCAGATTTTGAATGTGTTCATTCACAAGTCTGCAGAAAGACAAATCACCTTACCTGTACACATTATTCTGACTTGGAGTAGGTGAGGACCAGTCTTTGGTCTTACTTCTTAATGCTCTGATCTTAGCAGAAAAGCAGAAAATACTTATTTTTTCAATTCTCCAGTTTATTCTGGTGGGGGTCAAACCCATGATCTCCTGCTCAAGGCAATAGAGAAATTGAAGTCATATGTCCAAAAAATCTCATGTTTATTTCAAGACATCAAAAAGGCTAATAATGACTTCAAGCAGCTGATAAAACCTTATAATTTCAACATTTCAAAACCATAGACTGTATTAAATGTCCTTTCCTTATACATAAAAACACTAGACTGAATTTCTAGCAATATATATCTATATTACTATTATTTTAGACAAACATCTTTAATTGTACATGTAATATTTATATTTCAAGGCTGCTTTTTTAGATCAGTACATCTCATAATGACTGATCCATTCAAACACTTGTAGCAGTAAAACTTTATACTTTTTTTAGTAATTCTCTGTTAATACAAATTATCTAACATAGTAATATAACAACTCTGAGTCTCAATAGTTACAAACTCAACTGGAATATTCACAGTTTGCAAAATCAATACACAGTTCATGTAAATCATTCAGATTTATTCAAAGACCAGTAAAACATCTGCTCACTTACAATTATGTAATGAAATTATCCATTGTCTAATCGGTTAAAAAACGCCAACTTTGTCAATACTGAACAAGCAGATGGCATGTAAGCAATAAACATACATTATGTACATCTCTTCAAAGTTAGTGATTAACATGCTGGATGCATATCAAAACACAGATACTATTAACTTCAGAAAATTGGTTATAAAAACATTCCAGCAAATTTGAAAGTTATAACATATCCATGACATAATTTCTGATATGATGCAGTTTAATTTTGATTAGAATAATTCTGACCATATTTTTAAATTTCAATATTAACAATAAATTAAACAACTTTCATTGACCTTTTATCTCAACCAAATCAACATTTATATAAAAATCTTTACACACAGTTCTACAAAGTTTCTATTTTTCAAAATTTTAAAATATCAAACTAACCTAATTAATGACTTAAAACTAAAGAGATTAAAATCATTGTAATCTAAAAATCAAAACTTCTTACCCGCGTGCCCCAATCAGTTGATCATGATGTGAAAATCCCTATTGACAAAAATTTTGGAAAAGGTACAAACTAAGCAGCCATAAGTCAATCAGTCAGGACAAAGTATTGCTGAACCATTTAATTTGTGGCAGTGTGCAATCAAAAGATGACAATCTGATATAATTATTAGGTATTGATCCAGGCTTAATCGGGTGTGTAAGACATACCTACTATTAAATTACCAATACACATGGTGGAAACAATGGGCACAGACAATAGCTTTAAATTAAACTAAGTCAACACACAGCACTTTCACTGTCTTTAAAAGGAACAGTGTAACCTAACAATGACTGTACTTTAACAATATAGTTGTCAGTCTTTTTAAGTTCCTGCAACTTTTCCTCAGAAATCCTTTTTTGCAAATATAATTAAACCTATGTTTATGAAGAAACAAGAATTCATAAATCATGCGACGGGAACAACATGGATCCAAAAACTTCGGATTTTACTGTATGTGGAATTGCAAAGTCAAGAATTTTAAACGGCCTATTTAAAGATATTTTGGTAATGAGATATATACCCCCTTTATTAACATTACTATCTTGTCAGTCAAGCTGTTCCTGTATATGTGTAAAATACTACATTATACTAAATCAGAGCAAATAAATATATGCTTACATGTATATAGTGTGTCATTCATTTACATGATAATTTTTTCTATTTTATACCTTTCTTTGAGAGCTCTGTATATTCATAACTTTAATAACTCAAAACTGTCTAAAAGGATTTTTTTAAACACTATTTTTCTCAGATAAATTTGACACAAACACATGATGCTGTCACCATACAAGTATATGCAATTGCTTAATTCTTTGATGGTGTGTACTTCTGTTCAATTTCTATCCCAAATAATGTTTGCTTTTCATAAAAATTTTTTTTTCTAAATTGAGATGCACAGTCTCTATATATATATAGTCAACAAAATCATACTTACTGATGATACATATTAGTCTGAACTTATGGATCCTGTACTATTTCCAAAATTAATGACTCAATATCCCGATGTGTACATTGTATAATTTAAATTAAGAACACTATTTTCCTGTAGATCATCAACACAAAAGCCTTTGTCAGATTCCTATATTTATAAAATCAAAAATGAATTTCCAATTGAAATGTAATCCCGTAAATGGAAATGTATCCTCTCTGGTACAATGTGTTATATGCAATACAATGAAAACATTGCTCATCTTTTTTCCTTTGTATCAGTGCACATACATAGTAGCAAGTTACTTTTTTTCAAACAATTCAAGATACATATATATATATATATATATTTTGTTCTAAAAGCCAGTTCTAAGAATTTAAATTTTTTACAGACACAAATACTACACATGAGCATAAGATTGTACTGTGCATGTACTGCCCCCATGTCTAATTAATCAATTAGTACAATAATTAGACATGTATTAGTGTACTGATACACAAGGGAGATAAAAGTGGGAGGTCAGCTATAAACAGCTGTCAAAATTTTTTATGGCACTTCATCATGTTTCAAGATTTTGTCTACATTATATTAAATCAATAATCTTAAAGATGATTATT